TCGCTTAGATCCACAAGGAGCAAGCAGAGGGTCAGATCCTGCCTCTGGGTCCCCATTTCCCCAGGATGCCTGTGTCCTCGCTCCCATTCACTACACAGGGAGGCTCTCATTACCCTACCCACACTGGAGAGGAGCCAGGGCTCAGGGAGGGCGGAGGGGCTTGCCCCAGCCCCACCTCCTACCAGGACGACCACTTAGCCATCCCATCTCCTCCCCCAGGTGCCCCTCCTGTGGCATCTCGTCTCCACCCTGCTCAGGGCGTTATTCATCCTTGATTGTCACCGTTCCCTAAGCAGCTGCTGGGTGCCAGCCCCGTGCTGGGAGTCAAGGATTAGAAGCCACGTGAGTCCGCACATTCCCTTTTGATTTTTTCAACCACTTAAAAATATAAAAACCATTCATAACTCACAGGCCATACGAGAGGCAGTGGGCTGGGTTTACCCACCGGCCGTGGTTTCAATCCTCGCTCTATCCATAGCAACAAAAACGAACTTCAGCCACACAGTGGAGTGGATGAATCTTAACAAACATAATGCTGAATGAGAGAAGCGGGTCACAGGAGAACACATACATAACCTTCAATTACACAAAGTTCACAAACAGGCGAAGCTAGTCCTTAGGGTTTAGGGATGTGTCCTAATGATAAAATTACGAAGAAATGCCAGTAAGTGATCACCCTACCAGCTGGGATGGGGGTACCTTTTGCGGGGGCGGGATGCCTGAGCCACGGGGATGTTCTCATTCTTGACCTGGTGGGAGTCACCTGGGACTTTGTTTTCTAGTGCTTACCATGCAGCATGGTGTTTTTCTATGTGACAGTTCACAGTGACAGTTCACAATGACAGAGGAGAAAGCAGTGAGACAGAAGCAGCTGGGAGGGTGTGTGGACCCCTACCTGAGGGGTGTTTATGATCCGCCCAATGACAATCTGTATCCCTCGGCTGTGTCAGGCTTCCCCTCCGGTCAGCTGAGCCTCTCCCCCCAACTCCTGGCCCTGCCTTTGGGCTCTCAGCGCTCATTCCCTCAGGCACCTCCCACTCTGCCCCCACTCCTCGGCAGCCTTCCCAGCACTCCCCTACCTCTCCCGCCTGCCTCTGCCTCGAAAACCCTTTATTGGGATTAGACAAAGATGAAAAACAGGGGCTCTTCCAGATAGAGGTCCAGAGCGGCGGGAAGGGAGGCAGGAGGTCTCAGCCTTATTATTATTATTATTTTGAGATGGAGTCCACTCTGTCACCCAGGCTGGAGTGCAGTGGTGTGATCTCAGCTTACTGCAACCTCCACCTCCCGGGTTAAAGCAATCCTCCTGCTTCAGCCTCCCGAGTAGCTGAGATTACAGGCAAATACCACACACCACCACGCCCAGCTAATTTTTGTATTTTTGGTAGAGACAGGGTTGCACCAGGTTGGCCAGGCTAGTCTCGAACTCCTGACCTCAAGTGATCCACTGGCCTTGACCTCCCAAAGTGCTGGGATTACAGGCATGAGCCACTGCTCCCAGCCTGAAACATTTTTTTTTTTTTTTTTTTTTTTTTTAAACAGGGTCTCACTCTGTCACCCAGGCTGGAGTGCAGTGGTGCAATCTCAGCTTGCTACAACCTCTCGACAATGAAATCCAGCCCAGCCACTGAGTTCAAATGATTCTCCTGCTTCAGAAGAATCCCAGTAGCTGGGATTACAGGTGCCCGCCACTATACCCAACTAATTTTTGTATTTTTAGTAGAGACGAGTTTCACCAGGTTGGCCAGGCTGGTCTTGAACACCTGACCTCAGGTGATCCACCGTCTTGGCCTCCCAAAGTGCTGGGATTACAGGCATGAGTCACCGCGCCCAGCCTGGAACATCTTTTACACAACAAAGAGCACGATGACACCTGGGTCCAGAGCAAACCTGTCTGGAACTTCCGCCGAGGCTCATGGTCCCATTAGGCTGAGAGTGGGGCCTGTGGCTTGTTCACCTCTGGGTTCCCCCACTCCAGGTGCCTAGAACAGGTCCTTCTCAATGGATATTTGAGAGAAAAATACAGCCCAGAATTCTGAAAAGGCCACAAAGAGAGAGGGGACTGACATTTGCAGAGGACACTTAGGTGCAGAGAGGTTACGTTATTGTCTCAGGTCCCACAGCCGTCACCAGAAGAAGGCAGGCCTGGAACTCAGGTCTGTCCAGCCCCAAAGGGAGCACAGAGGCCCACAGAAGCTGGGCTGCAGCTGCTCCCAGAAAAGCCAAGCCCCCAACAATTCCCCTCTTGGGGACACCACCAGTGGCTGCCTTTGATAAAAGCAGACTTTGCAGGGGGATCAAAAAGCCAGAGGGCAGGCCCAAGTCCCGACTCAACTGGGAGGAGGAAGGATGGCTGGGAGCAGGAGCGGGCACCCCGGATGAGCTGGAGGCCGTGGGCTCATCAATCTCAAGTCTCCATGGCTCTGGCGAGGCTGGCAGGTGGCTGATGTTCACTGAGCTCTAATCACATGCTGGGCTCTCAGTCCTCAGGATGTGCTATGAGGCGGGCAGCGCTATCACATCCATTTAACAGAGGAGGTATAGTGATATGAGTGATCCGCCCAGGGCGCCTGGGTGAGTAGCAGAGCTCAAATTCAAACTGGGCCAGGCTCAGTGGCTCACGCCTGCAATATCAGCACTTTGGGAGGCTGAGGAGGGTGGATCACCTGAGGTCAGGACTCTGATACCAGCCTGGCCAACATGTTGAAACCCTGACTCTACTAAAAATACAGAAATTAGCCAGATGTGGTGACGGGTGCCTGGGATCCCAGATACTTGGGAGGTTGAGGCAGGAGAATCGCTTGAACCTGGGAGGTGGAGGTTGTAGTGATCCGAGATCACAACATTGCACTCCAGCCTGGGTGACAAAAGCGAAACTCCATCTCAAAAAAAAAAAAAGTGGGTGGGGGTGTCTGCTGTTCCAAGGGACTCTAGGACACCGTAAGGGTGTTTTCACCTCTTGCGAAAGAACAGTTTCTCTTTTGTATAACGTTTGTTGCAATAGCGGGTGGGAGGGGGTGGCGCTGGGAATCTGTTTTTGTTTGTAGTTGAGACTGTGACAAAAGAGCTTTTCCTCAGTAGCACCCCCAAAGCCTCTCCCACCGCTTGGTTACCAGGGTGCGCTGGGTGTCTTCTGGGGAGGATGAACCACCCAAAGGGAAAGGATGGGAATTGGGGAGAAATTAAATTAAGAATGACAGTGAGCTGAGACACATGGACACCAACACTGCATTTCCGGGGTCTGGCCGTGTTTGCACCAACCGTCTGTGGTGTGGGTGGGGGGCGGCCACAGGATTACAGGAGATGGTGTCCTGGGCTCTGGCTCTAGCCGGGGAGGTTCGCACAGGCCAGCCCTTGCCTCCCCAGGGTATGTTTCTGGGGAAGAACATTCTCTGCAAAGGTAAGGGGAGCCCCTGAGCCCACTGGCTGAGGGGCTCAGCTTGGGGCTGAGGCCGATCTGGGGCTGAGCCTGGCCTATACTTACTGGCTAGGCCTTGTTATAAAAGGGAATTTAATAGCGGAATGATGCAGTAGAGCAATCTGTGTCAGGAGTAAGTACCCCTTCCCTCCCTTATCTGTGTGTGTGCTCACTGTTGTTCCATCTGTGAGCCACACTTTTTTTTTTTTTTGAGACCAAGCCTCGCTGTCTCCCAGGCTAGACTGCAGTGGCACGATCTCGGCTTACTGCAACCTCTGCCTCCGGGTTCAAGCGATTCTCCTGCCTCAGCTTACCGAGTGGCTGGGATTACAGGTGTATGCCGCCATGCCCAGCTAATTTTTTTTGTTTGTTTTTTAGTAAGATGGGGTTTCATCATGTTGGTCAGGCTGGTCTCGAACTCCTGACCTCGTGATCCACCCGCCTTAACCTCCAAAGTGTTGGGATTACAGGCATGAGCCACCCTGCCCGGCTGAGCTGTACCCTTGCTGAGGAAATTTATATTCAAGTGCTACTTCTTTTGCGGTACTGAAAATTTTACTTATAACAGCCTTGAGCAAATGAACTGGACTCCCTGGGCTTCCTTTTCCCTGTCCTTAAAATGTGCAGATGAGGAAAATAGTGGCCCCAAGGGGTGCTGTGAGGGTGGCCAGTGCCTGCCCTGTTAAGGGCCCCAGAAAGGCTAATTCGTGGTAGTGAGAGGGGGTGCAGCAGGACAGATGGGGCAGCTCCTGGAAACCTCATCAACTCTAAGAGAATAGAAGGGAAAGCAGCTGGTCTCCACAGTGGAGGCCACCCTTTGGCCAGAGGGGGGATTGGCTGCTGCCCTGCCAAGGAGGGGCAGAGAGAATCTGGCAGAACTCACTGAGCCCTGGTGCTGGCATCCCTGGAATGGGACCCTCCTGGCCCTTCCCTGGCCTGATGAACTGGCCCTGAGGCCACCTACCCTACAGCCTGGCTTGAATTCTGGCCACACAGCTTCTGAGAGCCTGGGACCAGGAAAGGAGCACCACTGGCCTGGAAAGACACATGCTCACATCCTAAAACACTCGGCCTCTACTTCATTTCGGGAACCGGGAGGTGCGAACCTTTCCAGTGACTGACAGTTCTGTGCCTCTGGGAGCAGCTTCCCATCCTGCCCTGGTATCCACCTCTCTCCCTGGCCAACACTGGCGACAACCCCCTAGGGCGGCCCCGCCTCTTGCCAGGTTCAATGCAGGCTCCACCGCATCAGCCGCGTTAGATTCCTCGGGTGGGGAGCTGTCCTTCCCCACTGCCCGAGCTCCTGACCCAAGCCACACAGCGCCCACCCTCCTTGTTTAAGGGCCAAGAGTCCAGAATGCTGGGGGGAAGCTGTCCCCCGCCCCTTTAAAAGCCACCTTGGCGAGGCATTAGCTAAACATCTTCTCATTCCCTGAAGGCTTCCCCTGTGAAGTCTGCAGCGTTCAAATGACAACCAGCAAATCCCCAGAGACAGGTCCCTGGGAATTAGCAGCGCAGGGCTGGATGAAAGCCGCTCTGATGTTCTGGAGCGAGAGAGTAGAGAGAAGGATGGATGTTATACCTGCCAGTTGCAGGGTCCCGGGCAACAGCAGCAGGCCAAGGAGGAGCTGGGGGGCCATGGGGGGCCCGGGAGGGCATGCGGAGCCGGGCAGCGCCCACCACCTCGGAGGCTGGCTCTCCATCCGGGGGCCTGCCTGTCCAAGGCGACTCTTTAGTTCACAGGAGGGGACAGCTGGCGCTGACAGCTTCCCCTTTGCTTTCCCCATGAAGCTCCTCCCTGGCAGCCCCAACCTTCCGCTCTGCAGCAAAGCGGGAACAGCCCAGCAGGGGTGGCCACCAGATGAGGAACCAGGTCCAGGCCACACGGGCCGAAGAAGAGCTGGGGGTGCGGACTCAGTTCAAGCCCCAGTGGGCTTCACCCCTTTTTGGGCTCTTTCCAGTTGGGGCCCTGTCCAGGAGACACTGGTGACCATGCAGAGGGGTCATGGGATCTCCATGAGTAACTTCGGGCCCTGGTTTAGCCTCTCACTTCTGATACGCTTTTTTTTGAGATGCAGTTTCACTCTGTCACCAGACTGGAGTGCAGTGGTGTGATCTCGGCTCACTGCGACCTCCACCTCCCAGGTTCAAGCGATTCTCCTACCTCAGCCTCCTGAGTAGCTGGGATTGATTACAGGTGCATGCCACCATGCCCGGCTAATTTTTGTAGTTTTATTAGAGATGGAGTTTCGCCATGCTGGCCAGGTTGGTCTCAAACTCCTGACCTCATGATCCGCCCACCTCAGCCTCCCAAAGTGCTGGGATTACAGGCATGAACCACCTCACCTGGCCTGAAACAGTTTTAAAATGACCACAAGCATGTTCACACAAACTTGTCTAGAATATTCTGAGAATCCCTTAATCACGTATTGACCAAAGAGTAGGTTTTTTGGTGGGAGTTGGTAGGGAGGCTGGGGTGAAGGGCAGGAGCCTCATGTTCCCAGCGCCAGAGAGGGCCAAACACCTAGGGGGTGTGAAAGGCAGGCTGCCTATCATTCACCCAGCAAAGGTCTCTGTGGGTCCCCTGCAGAGGGCAAGGGGCTGCCTCCTCTCCGGTCCATCTCTAACATCAGCTCCTCCCTGTGGCCTCCCTAAACCTTAGCTCACTCAACCTCCCAATGTAAGACACGTGGGCTGCTTCCCCACTGGCTGCAGGTCACAGCCTCTGTTCTCTAGCAGCATCAGCCTGGGACAGAAATTGTTTGCTGCCCGGACCCCTTCCTCAGCAGACTTGGAGCCTTTCACCCTCGGCACACTGGGCACGCACACGTCTGCCTGCGTGTCTGGAGTGACAGAGGAAAGGGGCTGGGGTGTGGTGATCAGTGGTGGAGCTGGAGGCACCTGGTACCTGGGGGACGCAGGCAGGAACATGTGAGTTTCAGCGTGTGCCAAGCACTGACCTCCCTTCTTTAAAGTGTTCCTTCATTCACCAGATAAATATGATGATCCCAATTGTACAAAAGAGAAGACCACAGCCCCAGGAGGCAAAACAACGTGCCCAGGATCAGAGCAGGTCCATGGGGCGGGCATTGGAACTGCCAGCTGCATGATGCCCAAGCCTTCTCCCACCCGATGCCACCTGCTCAGACGTGCCTGGCTGCAGCCCCCAGTGATGACATCAGGAGGGCCAGTTCGGTTCTTTACACAAGTGCTTTTCCCTGGGCTGTTCCAAACATGGACAACAAAAGCAGAAAGACATTTCCACCAACGCCAAGGGCATGGGAGGCTGGCGAGGGCAGGGGCCGCCCACGGGGGGAGGAAGATGTAAGAACAGGAGACGTTTCCGACCGCGCCGGGGGCGGGCGAGGACTCCAGTGATATTGACTGTTGATCCATCACAATGATACATTCTCTCATATGTCACAGCGAGACACAGATTGGCTGCTTCATGCTACTCCCGGCTCCTGGGGGTAGCAGGTTGTCTAAGCACCTCAATGCCATGGTGATAGACCTGATGTTAATGCCTTGGGGCACACAGGGAGCATTGGAAAAGCATTGGTCTGTGCCTCCACAAGTCTTGTTATGACTTGGCACCGGGAAGCAGCCAAGTGCCCAGCTGCCTCGGAACACGGGAGCCTGCTCTTCCAACGCAGCGCGGCCTCTGCCCTTGCCCTGGTGCCAGCTCGCTGCCCCTGCCTCTCAGACAACAAGCCCCTTGGCCTGTGATGGTGCCCCCCACACTCCAGCTCTGCACCCCGGACTCCTGGGAGCTCTGAGTCTGGGTCTAGCCTGCTGCACACCTGGTTTCCATGCTCGCCTGCCTGAGCTGCCTGTCTTCCTCCCCGCTCCTCCTTGTGCCTGGCCAGGGGGTGCATGAATGGGCGGATGACTGATCGTAAGGCAGGGAGAGGCCTTCCTCCAGGCTCGACGTGAAGGCGGGTGCCCGACACTGCACTGGCACACAGGAGGCCTCAGGGGAGCTGGGGCTCTGGGGGCGGGGTGGGAGGAGGCCTGCACCCTCCCCAGGCAGGCCCTGGGCTTCGGAGCACAGACGGGACTGGACAAGAGGCAGCTGAGGGTCCCAGCTCATTTCGGAGTTTCTGAGACACTGCAGCCAAGCAGCCTCCGAGGGAGAGGCAGAGACAGGCCTTGGCGAGGAGCCCAGAAGCCCTGGCTACGCTGTTGGGGCCTCGTGTCTGGCCCTGATCCTCCTCGGGAGCAAAGAAAACCGCAGCACATCCAGGCCCCTCTTTTTTTTTTTTGAGACAGAGTTTCACTCTTGTTGCCCAGGCTGGAATGCAATGGCATGATCTCAGCTTACTGCAACCTCCGTCTCCCGGGTTCAAGCGATCCTCCTGCCTCAGCCTCCTGAGTAGCTGGGATTTACAGGCATGCGCCACCACGCATGGCTAATTTTGTATTTTTAGTAGAGACAGGGTTTTCTCCATGTTGGTCAGGCTGGTCTTAAACTCCCAACCTCAGGTGATCCACCTGTCTTGGCCTCCCAAAGTGCTGGGATTACAGGCATGAGTCCCCGCACCTGGCCTCCCTCCAGGATTTTCAAATGCCTCAGTGAGCAAGTGGTGGCTGAGGGGCCTCCAGCCAGGACACGGTGATGTCCTCAGCTCTTCCTGGTTCCTTTCTGCACAGGAAGCAGAAGTACCGTGGGAAGAGGACTCCCCTGCTCCCCACTTCGGCTGTGGAAATCACTTCCTTCCTCCCCAAAGACTCCAGCACCACGAGGAGCTGAGCCGACCCGCAGGAGGAGCCCCTCGGAACGATGCTTTGAGCTGGCTTAGCTGAGGCAGAAAGGGTCCCGGGGTATGAGGGCCTGATCCATCCTTTCTCTTAAACACCCCACATTCAAAACGGTAGCCTCCATCCTAGGAGCAGCTGGGTTTGCCTCTGGGGCCTTCTTGGGCCTCGAAGTGGCCCGTAGCTGGGTCGTGCTGACCCCACCGGAAGCAGGCAGACCCACCTGCAGGCCATCCACCCACAGGCTGCTTGGGCTGGAAGCCTGGCCTGGCCCGTCTCCAGAATCCCCTCTCAGTTCCAGCTGCCTGTACTTTTGGCTCTTAAGCATTTGTTTGATGCCAGACACAGTTCTAAAGGCTTTTCATGTACTTCGGCCCTCACAGAAACCTTGTATGGGAGGTGTCATTTATGACTGCTCCTGCTTTGCAGATGAGGTAACTGGGGTTCGGAGAACACAAGGCACTTGCTTAAGGCCACACAGCAAGGAAGCAGTGGAACCAGGGTCCCAGCTCCCGGGAGCTGGCTTTAACTGCTGCGCTCGCTTGTAATTCACCTGGTCCTTCACTCAGGGCAGTTATTATACTCCTCATCTGACCCATTTAGTGAGAGAGAAAAACAGAGTGAATGACCTGCTCCGGGTCACAGAGGGGACTGGAGGCAAACCTGGGACCGGGGATTTCCTACTGGACACATACCACGGTATGATGAGACCTCCCCTGCTATGCTCAGTTTCTGGGAGGTCAGCCCTGCCACGCCAGCAGGAATCTTCAAGATGTGGAAGAAACAGAAAACAAAGGTGAGGCTGGGCGCAGTGGCTCACGCCTGTGATCCTAGTACTTTGGGAGGTCGAGGCAGGCTGATTGCCTGAGCTCCGGAGTTCCAGACCAGCCTAGGCAACACAGCAAAATTCTATCTCAACTAAAAAATAAAAACAAAAAAATTGCCAGGCGTGGCAACATGTGCCTGTAGTCCCAGCTACTCGGGAGGCTGAGGCAGGAGGATCCGAGGAAGTTGCAGTGAGCCACTCCAGCCTGGGTGACAGAGCAAAACTCTGTCTCCAAAAATAAAACAAACAAAAAAACCCAAAGGTGGCACAATTTGTTTTGCTTTGTTTTAAGATGGAGTCTTGCTCTGTTGCCCAGGCTGAAGTGCAGTGGTGCGATCTAGGCTCACTGCAACCTCCGCCTGGGTTCAAGAGCTTCTCCTGCCTCAGCCTCCAGAGTAGCTGGGATTATGGGCACATGCCACCACGCCTGGCTAGTTTGTATTTTTAATAGATTTTTCACCATGTTCGCTACACTGGTCTCGAACTCCTGACCTGAAGTGATCAACCCTCCTCGGCCTCCCAAAGTGCTGGAATTACAGGTGTGAGCCACGGCGCCTGGCCACAATTTTCAACATTTATTCCACCACGTCCACCATGTGCCAAGGTTCTGGGAGGCTCGGGCCCTTGTCACAACCATGTCCCTCAAAGAGACGAGCACAGAACCAGGAGGCCCTCGGACTTCAGACCCCAGAGCCACCAAGTCCCCCATTAACGGTGCCACCGCCTGCCCCTCCTGGCCACGCAGGACGGCCCCAGGGTTGGCCTGTGCTGATGGTGCCACCTGGTGGTAGACATGGGAACGCGCTCACTTGAGATTTCCTCTCCGTGAGCCTTTTTCCCCCTCTAGGGGTCCCGGGCTGCCCTGAGGTCACCGCCCAGCAAGATCAGGACAGGCTTGAGCGGCCGTGGGATAGCGCGGTGGGAGTTCCGGGGGGCTCCGGTGCAGGCAGAACCAGGAATGTGCCGGTGGGGGCGGGGGCGGTGAGTACGGGGTGCAGGGCGTGGCGGCTTCGGGACCTCAGCTCGCCTCTTTTTAAATCCCTTCCTGGGCACCCAGGGGGGCCCGGCCGTTTCCCCTCAGGCTGTTTCTTCTGGGACAGCCGCACTATCTCCTCCGGGGCAGCCTCCAGCAGAGCCGGTTATTGGCCGCCAGGCAAAC